GTAGTTTGAACCGGGTAGTAGGTTTTCGTTTTTTCTTTTTAATTTTTTTTAGAGTAGATTAGAGGGAATAAATGGAGGAAGAATGATGAACCTAGGCGCCCTTGACTTGTTTGATAGTAGCATATTTAGGCTTTATCATGTGTAGTATCTTCTCTATGATTTGAAATTATTGATGATGCCTTGCTTAGTTGGATAGCATGTTTTGTGACGCCTATGTCTCATTTACTTGACTTGTGTTCACTTTGTGCTTAATGCTTAATATCTCGTAGCTTTGTGAATACTTGCATTAGTTGAGAGTCGGAATGAAACCGTCCTTAGTGAGTCATGTGCCATGAGTGGTGAGGTTTTTGTGTAGTCTATGTATGGTACTTGTGTCTAGAACTTGCCCGGTATGTGATTCGAAGCGAAATTTTAGGTGATGCTCGGTTTGAGAAATGATTTTAGGCTTTCCTTGATCTTTTTGAGCTTAGTGCTTATCATAAATAAAATTTATCCCTAGTTAACCCTTTTGAGCCTATCGACTTTTACTTGACACCCACATTACAAGCCTATACTCTTTTTATTCTTAATTGATATTGTTTTGATAATTTTTCCTCTTAAAACACTTTAATTGTGAGATGAGCGCTAAAAGAAGTAAGAAGGGACTAAGTGTGGGGTGGCTTTTGAGTGGAACCAATAAAAGGAAGAAATGTGCACTTGTTTTGTAAAATAATACACCACTAGCGGAAATTGAAAAAAAAAATAGAGATGAATGAATTGTTGTCTTGTTCTTGCTAGTGGGTATGAATTAATGTAGTGCTTAAAGAAGAAGGGAGCATTTTAGGGGTGATATTGTTTGTGAAAGTGAAGTGGATTGAAGAATTTGCGCTTAAAGTTGATTATGTGATGTGTTAAAGTGCTTAGGAGAGTTAGTCACTATTCCTAAATATACCCTACCCGTCCCTTAGCTCACATTACAACCATGAAAAAGTCTAATTGATTTTAGATCGAATGAGCCTACATTAGTAGAGATTTACATTATGGGCGAGCCTATGGTACCAATTGCATGCATGTGACTTCTTTGTGAGAGCGAGAGATTTCTTTGACATATGTGAGTCCTTAAACTATATTTGATCATGAGATTCGAATGTGTGGATTGAACTTGCTCTCTTGTTCTTGTTGTGAGGGCACATGGTCTCACGAGGGATAGGTAACGTTATTAGACTTCTCTATGATATTGAGTGTTCAAGCAATGAGTGCATTGTGACATTGAGTCGGTTTGTAAGGCTAGGATTATTATGAGCATATTGTCTTTGTTTGAATATTTTTGAAGTTGGCATAAAAAGGGGAAAGTGTATGTAATTGCATATGCTAAGGCTTAATTGTAGCTATCAACCATGATCATTGGTGTAGTGTGCCTCAATTGTGTAAAACAAAGTGCTCAAGGATAGTGTGAATTGTTAGTTGACTTGAGGACGAGCAACGTTTAAGTGTGGGGTAGTGATGTCTGGCTATAATTATATATTTTTAGTACATTACTTACCTTACATTTTGGTATTTTAATACTAAATTGTACTATGTTTGTGCTTAATTGAGTTTATTTTATGTGTAGGTACTTTGGAGATAAAATTGGAAGCAAAATAGAGATTTTATGTATATTTTATACACAATAAAAATAGATTGATGATTATTTAATTATTGGATATATAATGATTAAAGGTTAATATTACTAAAGAAGACAAAAGAAACAAATGGAAAAATTGGAAAGTTAAGGAAAAACAATAAGAAACGAAGGAGAAGTTAGGCAGCACTTGAAAAGAATGCCCAAGCAGACATGAAAACATTCTGTTTTCAGCGCCAGGACCAGCGCTAGGCGCTGGCCTGGACGCTGTATTGCAGGGGTTTTCCTACTTTGTTTGGGATAAGATTATTTCGGCCCTACATGGTTCCAACTTGTATAAAAGGGGTCCTAAACCTATTTTGGAGAGAGGAGAACGTTTTTGAGAAAAACTTTAGACGAAGGGAGAGCACAGAGCCGCCGTGCAGGCCGGGTTTCATCTTTTCTTCCATCAAACTTAGTAATTTTTATGTTTCTTCGTATGATTTGTTGTTTTGCTACCATGTCTATGTGGAGCTAAACTTCACGTTTTAGGGTTGTGGTTCTTTCATGAATATTGTTATTGGGATATTGGTTTTGATTTCTTAGTTTATCATATTGGTTTATTTATTTAATCATGCACTTAATTATTTGATTGCTTGATCACCAATTGAATACTATCTACGAATCTTGAATTGAACTCGAAAGTGGAAATTCTAGATTGCATATAGGATTGAGTAGAGCAAGTTCTTGAACCTGGGCATCGGGGAACGGATTCGCGGTTAGGATAGACATATACCTAATTGCCTTGCTTGGTTAATTTACAGGAATTATAAATGCGTTCTTGTTAGTTCTAATTCCATAGACATATTGGAGTCAGGTTAGCTTGAATAGGCGAGTAAGAACTCGACAGATTCTTATGAGCAATATTAACCCTGTTAACCAATAAACTAGATAAATTAGTTAGTCAATTCAATTGAAGAATACAATAGGAATGTTAGATAGCCCATAACCTAGATCGTTTTCATTACATTGATATCATAAAAATCTTCTCTTTTTCTGTTCAAAGTTCATTATTTATATTTCTTTATTTAATTAGTTTAGAATCAAATATTTCTAGGTTTAATTCTTGTTTAGATAATTAGGATAGTCTAATTTAGTTAATAGTTAATCACAAGTCCTCGTGGGTTCGACATCCGACTTTTAGTCACTTTGTTACTTGACGACCGCGTATACTTGCGTGTGCGTTTGGCTGCAACAATTAGATATTCAAAACAAGAGATAAACTAATATTAAGATCTGAATCAACATAGAATCAACGTAGAACTATATCAAGTGCATAACCAGATACATGTTGTAGCTATCATGCATGCTGCGACTTTGAAACAACAGACATGCTTGTTAATGATAAACAAGACAAGCAATAAGTACCAGTGGCGGATGCACATAGCCACTTGTGGGTGCTTAAGCACCCATTAACTTTGATCATATTTAGTAATTTACATAGACTATTGTATAAATATTTAGATAAATATTGAGTGAGCACCCATAAATAAATTCATTTTTCCTCTTCTTTTGGAGTCTTTATCTGCGAGCACCTATAATTTTAAAATCCTGAATCCGCCACTGATAAGTATGTACTATAGCTGCTATATTTAAGCTAAAGAAAGAGAGTTCGGCTCAAGTAAAAAAAAAGTTCTACTATGAGCCTAATTAGTAAAATATCTCACACTGCCTCATCAAGCACGGGATAAGACAAACCCGATATAACACTCCTCTTAACCTTTGCATATCCCCAATATCCCCAGTTCACGCCCCAACTATTTTTAACCAAAAAATATTCAATACCATTTTCTTTACCATAGCCCACTATTAAGACTGCATGACGTCCCTCGCTTTCTTGATTATTTTCTTTATCAACACATTCATCCTCAATATCTTTTTTGGATGGGCCCATGTAGATGTCCTATAAAATGAAAGAATTCATGAGAAAATAGGAGTAAATTAATAAGTATAAGTTTGAGAAAAGGAGTAAGTATAGAATTGAGAACATGAGTAAATAAGTATAGAATTGAGAAAAGGAGTAAATAATTAGTATAGAACTAAAGCTACATAGCTTTTTTTTTTTTAACCTTTCCAGTATGTTTTCTAAAGCTATCCACATGCGATATACATCCGCTAAGTGGTTGTTGCCTAATAAACTTTTCAACTGTTTCTTTACCGACGTTTCCAACCTTGTAAAACCCACGAATCTTAGTTTTTTCCTGCACCATTTCAAACATTAATTAGCTTAAACCAATATATCTCGTTATAATAATAATAATAATAAAAAGAATAATAATAATAATAATAATAATAATAATTAATAATAATAATAATAATAACAATAAATATAATAATAATATGCACTTACACCTCCTGGTAGGCAACGACAATCTCTTTTCTCCTCAACATAGGGGTACAACTTATCAGGATATATACCTTCCACGGTTGCGAATTGGTAAAACTTGTTGTAGTGACTTGGAAAACATCCTGTGTTTTTACTATATTTGATATTTTTGGGCGTCGGCAATCTGGGATACATACAATCGACGGCATGCTGCTTTGATAAAGGCTTTAACTTGTCCAACTTATAAGGTTTTGACTGCTTCCACGCAAGATAGTACAAAGCCGAGATGGCTTCCGCCCCAACGAAAGCCCAGCATGCGCCTTTAATTTCAAGAGAAAAATTAAGGGAAACTTACACAAATGTCCCAAATAAATCTCAACTTACCAACCTCTAACCATTAGTCATAGACTTACCAAAACTAGCAAACAAAAATTGAAAACCCAAATAATAGGGTTCTTTTTCTCAAAGAATCACATGCAAAAATCACCTTCCATATTTTTAAGCGTGATTAACAACATTAGATACAAGACGGAAAGGAAATTTCATGGACGGGGTAGCAAATAAGGTGATGAAATACAAAAATCTATACAATATTCCAAAAATCTAAACAAAAAAGGAACTTTTTCAATGGGTATAGTTGAAATTCATTGAAAATATATAGATAAGTCAATATACAAAATTTGAGGAAGATTGGAGGTGATTTGGACTGGTTTTGTATCAAAATTCGGTAATTAATCGAGTTCAAAAAGTCTTCTGCGACCACATGTATCAAACATGTATCACGCACAGTATACATGGATTATACTTGTGATACACAATTGATACAAATATGATACATATGTGATACACAAAATGATAACACATATCATTTTTTTTCATGTTCAGCTTTTACTTCGAATTTTCAATTCAAAACCACCTCAAAACTTCACCAAATGCACCAAAACTGAGATTCAAGCTTCTTAAAGTTGTGCCCAATCTATTCTAATAACACTTCACTCAAACAAAGCAAAAATTTGATATTTTTTGTTACAAATAGCTAATTGGCTAATTTGGCTAATATTAGTAATATTTTATCAATTGGCCAATTTTTGTAATGAGCTACTTATAAATGGACATAGCTGGTAATTTCCCAAAAATTAAACCATACAAACAAAAAGATTGTTAAATTCATAGGTAAAAATACATGAAAGGAAAATATTACTTGTAGTGTATCTAACTTACAGCATTTGCCTTGATCTTCCACGGCATTAAGGCAGCCTTTTCCCACCCAAGACCATTGACACTACATATCACCAATCCAATTCGGATAAATGCAGAAAAAGACAAAGAAGCATATCATAAGTAAGTACTCTCTCGATTCCAATATGTTTCGCATAGTTTGATTGGTAAGAATAAATTTTAAAACTTGTAGTCTTAACAATTAACAATGCATGATAAATTTGCGTGGATGCAAGACTTTTGAACGTTACCATCTTAAATATATCATAAAATTTGTATAACTACAAAAGCTTTTTATTAAAGATAAATAAAATGAAAATTTTAAAGCTAAATAATTATAAATATAAAAGTATGTCATTTTTTGAAAACGGGCTAATAAAGAACTAATGTCAAATAAATTAAAATGGAGGGAGGGACTAGATGTTTAGACCACTGACAAAGCAAAAAGAAGATAAACTTTTGGTTCATCTATATTATACTCACAACTCTAAGCAGTTAATATTTGAAGCAAATATATATACTTCAATTTTAACAAACTTGGCTCATGACTTACTGGCACTGAAATCTTAGAACGTCACACAAATACATTACTATTAATAACGATACTTTTATATACACTGTTAATTAGAGGCATTTTATATATATATATATATATATATATATATATATATATATAATATATAATATATATATATTATATATATATATATATATATATATATTAGTAGATAAAATCAATTGAAAAACACCTAGTTCTAAGGAGCATTAATTAGTCACTTGGTTTGGGATAACCATTTAACGGACCTAAAAAACAACTTAGAGAATCATATACACATATTACACAAACTAAAGCTTAAGAAGAAGCTCATGGAGTTGAATAGTAATATTCCTTCATCAAATCAAAGACTACCATTCTTTCATCTCCTTTTTTGTTTTTCTTCTGGTGTCCAATACTCGCATTGGGCCCAAATAATCCTGATTCGCGTCGTCGTAAGGCCCATTTAAGGGGGAATCGCTCTTAAACAAGATCTTTTCCATATGCATAGCCTAAACCGGAAACCTCTGGTTAAGAGCGAAAGGATCTGAACCATTCCACTACTAGCCTTATATTTGTCATTCTTTCCATTTCCGATAACACCACCCCCAATCTCAGACAATGTCAAGTCTTTTCAGAGACATATTACATCCCAAATAGGTCTCTAACCGGCCTAGTACAGTCCAATGCATCAACAAAACAAAATCGCATGTGCAACAACAATATCAGTTTCTCTGTGCACAAATCAATATTCTAGTAATTATTTTCAAAGTCAGGAGACCTTTGGTAATCTCCTAAAACCTTGCACATTGAAAGATAAATTTTAGTATTCATTATTGAAGGCACTCAAGCAAGTTTCCTCATCCGATGAAAGTTGCAACCAAACGAGAGATGCAAAAGAAATCAAGGAAGAAATAGGTACTAAATAAAAATAAAAAATATTTAGCAAAAACATGAAATGTAACTTTATTTGAAGCCATGAAATACATCTTTAAGCTTTGCTCTTCTAAGTGATAGAATCTCTTGTTGCAAAAAAAAAAATTATCAACAAAATGTATATGCACAGATATACAGAAGGAAAAAAAATCAAATAAAAGTAAAAACTGAGAAACCTTCTTGAAGAAATCAGCGGAACACAAACGTAGATCTTCAGGCTTTGAGTAGCTTGGCCGTGAAACTGTAACTCTCTCCACCGGTAACTTACTGTAGTCTGGCACTGAGCTCATTTTTGGAGCTAATGGAACCAAAAAAGAAAAAAAAAACGATAGTTATGGAGTTTATATAACAAAAGAAAGAGAATGTACACAGAAAAAGCGATATGGAAAATGGACCTTAATCTGGTTTTTTTGTAGAGTGGGGAAGAGATGTGCAGATTTGAAAATATGCAGAGAGATGAATGTTTAACGTTAATGGACAAAATGTTTTTGGTGCTGGGCAGTAGTACTAAATAGAAATGGGAGGGGCAGGGGGAGGGTTGCAGTGTAGAGGCGTCAGTCTGTTGTAGACTTGTATCAGTGCAGTGAGATGTACGGATGAGGGCATTAATAAACTGCGCCATGCATGGTGTATGTGTGTTTAGGGAATTTTTGTCTCTTTTAGCAGTAGAGTTTGGTGCACAATATAATTTTTAATATTTTTATCTTATAGGGCGTTTTGACGAAAGATGGTACAGTCAAATCTCTAATTTATTCCGATATTTTTTGACTGCTATAGTGAAATGTTAATATAAAAATAATATATTATAACATAATATAAAAATCGATTCTAAAAAAATTTGACTTTTATAGTAAATGACTGTTATATATAGATGTTATTATAGAAAATCCCGACTCGCTCCGTTTTAATTTATTTGGCATTGTTTGACTGGATACGAAGTTTAAAAAGGAAAAACAAAAATTGAAACTTGTCATCTAAAACAAGCCTTATACATTTGTGTGATTATAAATTATCTCATTAAGGATAATACAAAAATTAAGTTTAAAGTTAAATTATTACTATTAAATATAAATATATAATTTTTTTAAATAAATTAAAAGAAAAAAAGCTTGCCACATTAAATAGGACCGAGGGAGTATTAGATAAAATTTTCACTTAAGAAGCATAAGATAGGAAACATACCCCTGCGAAATCATTAGACAGAGTAAATTTATATACGTAGATATTAGAATCCAAGACCTTAATTACGTGTATTTGTGTAGTTTATCTTTTTTTTTTTTTGCTTTGTCTTATTATCTTTTGAAATTTTCTAAGATATTAATTCTTCGATCATCTTCAAATACAATTCAGCATATCATTATTGTTGTAGTTTGCAACTGTAATGGCAATGTTGTAAACTTCAATTCCATTTGAAACAATGAAATATTTCTTCTCCGATCCAAATTTTATTCATGTGATATTGGTTAGAAAGCGTGTTATGGTTGTAAATATTAGTTATAAAGCGTGTTATGGCTTTCGTAATAGCTCATAAGGAGATAAAAATAGAAGGAAAAAAAAAGGACATGATTAATGTAACAGAATAATGGTGAAGAATTGGGATAGGTGGTAAAGTGAAAGTTTTTTTTTTTTTTTTTTTTTTTTTTTGTCTTGGGAATCTTGGTCATCAGGTCATGAGGTGGAAGAAATCTATTGGAAGGAGAGAAGTACTTCTTACTAGTCATTTTGTTACAATGTTTTTACAAATGCGAAACGACAATTAAATACCTGTTTTTCCAATTTCAAGTTTATTCATGTTTCAATAAGTGATATTAATTAAAATTCGATTGAGTTCACGTTCGAACATTATAGTTTGTTAATTGCTCTTCACGGTGTCCATATTTGTAGTAGTAGCTTTATGCATCACTTAGGGGTCGTTTGGTTGGAATATGATTTATACCGGTATAAGTTATGTCAGTATAAGTTATATTGGGATAAGTTGTACTGGGATTGTTGTTTATTCATTGTTTGGTATGTTGTATTAAGAATGACAATTGCATAGTTTCTAAGAAGAAGGTATAAGTTATACCGGTGTTTATTACCCCACCTTTTATAAGGTATAAGTTATCCCAGTGTTAAAATTAACACCGGGATAACTTATACCTGGTTTACTAACCAAACAGAATATTAAGGTGGTATTAAATTTTTATACCACCCTTATACCTTCTTATACCTCATACCAAATGACCCCTTAGTATCTTTTATATTTTTGTATCCCTAGACTTCTGTTACTACTGCCTTTGTTTCGGCTTTCTGTTTAAATTCTTTAGTGTTAGTTTTATATTTTTGCTTCGATTGTCAAATTTGATTTGCTTGTTCAAAGGTAAAGGTAAGAAAGGTAAAGGTAAGAACTGCGTACACCCTACCCTCCCCAGACCCCACTTGTTGGACTACACTGGATATCCCCAGACCCCACTTGTTAGACTACACTGGGTATCCCCAGACCCCACTTGTTGGACTATATTGGGTATATTGTTGTAATTGCTCTTCACGAAAATGCAAGAAAACAGGATGTTAACAAAGGAAGAGCAAAATCATTTCCTTCTAAAAGACCAACACTGTTCTATTATCTTCTTTTATCCATGTTATTCAGAGAAAGTACAACATTTCTTGTGTCACCATTTTTTTCCTTTTAACAGATCTGATAAAAGAAACGTTGAAATAGAGATAAGCAGTTTAAATTTCCAAGTGACTGCTACCAGCTAATTGGGAAAAATAAGCATCAACTTAATACAGTAGAACTAGGAAAATAAACCATGTAATGAAGATTAGTTTTAATCAACTTCTGAGGCCATGAGAATTTAATAAATCATAACACATATCACTATCTCTACCACAACTTGCATCTCACCCACACTACAAAAAGGGCAAACTGTAAAGTATAAACCAGAAGATATTGGAAAGAAAAAGAAAAATGACTCAATAAATTGTTCTAACATACTCCATATATAACAAACAACCAATCGCACAATCTCTTCGCTACACCATCCAACTTTTCAAGACCATAATTTTGAAACAGCTTCCAAGCAAATGACTACTGTTGCTTGCACTCAGGTGGTCTCTCACCGGGCTGACCGTCAGCTGCAGGTACTCCTCCACTCCTCTGTGTAGACGAGGAATAAGTAAGCATGTCAGAGGTTTATAAAGGAGATGAAGTAAACTTCAGCAAACAAAAACGAACCATGCATTATACCTTGCGCACAGCAGATGACTGCAATGATGATTGAAACAAAGAGAGGAAAACGGTTAGCACTAATGGACATCTCAACTAACAATGATATTTGTGTTGCTAACAATTCAATTACCTTCTTCTTGGTCTTTGTAACATGTTCATCCTCATCGTCGTCATCTTCATCTTCATCCTCCTCTTCCTCATCCTCTTCATCCTCATCTTCATCTTCATCTTCATCTTCATCATCTTCTTCATCTTCATCATCTTCTAAGTCAATGTAATCTTCATCCTGAGCAGCTTCCCCAGTAAACCATGAAACTGCATGCGGAATAATCTTATCTCGGATAGTTGACCTGCATAAATCATAAGCATATGGATCTTTAACAACTAAAATGGGCATATGGACCTTTAACAACTAAAACAGGCATATAATCGACATTTTAGTTTGTTTATATTCTGAATGTGCAACATTTAAATCCAAGAAAATCACACTCATGTGCTTGAGCAAATTGATTAGTTCAGGTTGGCTTACCCAATATCATAGTCTTGTTCCATCAAATTTTGAAGTTCTTCAGCCTATACAAGAAAAGAAAATGGGTTACAAACCACTTTAAACTGTACATATGTGTGTGTTTGTGTAATGTAACCACTAGAACATTTCATACAGCATCTTCGTCAATATCTTCTTCGTCATCGGGTACTTGAGGTGGACTAAAGAAGTTGAAGAAACTTTCACATTGTTCTGTTTTAGTGATAGGTTTGGAGTTCTTTGACCCCTTCTTTGGCTTCTTCTTCAGAATCTTTTGTGTCAAGCATTTACCTGGATACCACTCAATCTCGGTCCTACAAAATTCAGAGAGATAAGAAGCCATGGTGGGAAAAATAATCACAACAATCAGATGAAGAAACCTTGCTTGCTGATTATGAGGTGGTGACATACCCTATTGCCTTCTCCAAAATTGGTTCATCTTCATCAATCATGTGATAGGTCTTGGTCAGCACAGTGTTTGTGAAGTAGGGATTAGTCTCGAAGAAAAATTCAAGCTTAAAACCCTTTGGATTTTCAATCCTCGACCATTTTATATCCTTGAGAAATTTGAGAGCTCCTTCATCTCGCTCAGTAATCTGTAACTCATAGAATAGACCAGATTAGTGCCATTTTGGCTAGTTATAAAAGAAAATTTAAGGGACACAAATAGAGGACTTGTCATCAACTAACCTCTTCAGCTAACACTTCATTATTCTTCATTGCAGTGACCCAAAAATCAGGAACACCTTTCTCTATATAAAATGAAAGAGACAAAAGCTATTTGTCAACAATACCGATTGTCATAAAGCAACAATCAAGGAAAATTGATAATCAACATACCCACTGCGTCTTTATCCTCTTCCTTATCTGCTGCAGCAGTCTGAGTTGCCTCGCCAACAACTTCAACAACTCCATTAACAATTTCAGATCTCTGCGAATGTTTTTTTAGTTAAGTTCAGTTATATCAAGGCAACAACATCGAAGGATGCAAAGAGGTAAATGAAGCAATATGGCAGACCTTTGTATATAGTGGCTGATACTGCTTCTGGTACTTGGCTTCAAGGGCTGCTCTCTCCTCAAAAAATTTTGCCTCCAATTCATCATGTTGAGTCTGTGTTTAAAAAGATGACAACGAATCAACATCAATAGACACAAATTTGAAAATCGGATAAGACAGAGATCTAACAGAAAAACACAGGTGAGTATCCAGATACTAAAGTTAATTAAAATGCAACAGAAACACAATTAGGCAGCTAACACAAAGGATACCCTGTTAACCGAGATATTGCACCAAAAAAACAGGCGACACTGCTGACCACCCGAGGTTGCATTATCTTTTAAAACAAGGGCCAGCGTGAGTTGCAGATTCTGCTCCCACTCTACTTTTTTCTGTTCTCCTTGGAAACTATATTTTGTAGAGACAGTGGCTTTTTGAAAGGCTAGAAACTTCGTATTCAACCAGCACTAATAAGGCCATTCCTAGTGAAACTGGTGGAACTATTCCAAGTACCTATGTAAATCTCTGATTTTTTATGTGCTCATCATGCGACCTA